TAAACAGATTCAGGACAGGGCCTTGAATGACTTGGGGATCAAAATTACATATTCCAAGGCTTGGTTGGCTAGAAGCAGGGCAAAGCTTATAATATATGGCTCTTCATCAGAGCAATACTCAAAGGTTTGGGACTATGGGAAGGCACTGCTAAAATGGAACCCAGGGAGTGAGTGTAATGTGGTGGTGGATGATATTAATCAAATTGAAAGACCAATTTTTATGAGGATGTTTGTGTGCTTAGCTGCACTTAGGGATGGATTCATTTCTGGTTGCAGACCAGTAATTGGGGTGGATGGGTGCCATCTAAAAGGGGCATACCCTGGGCAGATCTTGGTTGCAGTTGGAAAAGATGGCAATAATGCCATCTTCCCAATTGCTTGGGCAACTGCAGAGATTGAGAACAAGGACAGCTGGTGCTGGTTTCTGGAGAGCTTGCTCAAGGCACTTTGTGTGTATGACCAAGGAGATGGCTTGACTTTTATGTCTGACAGACAGAAAGTAAGTGGGTTGTGTTTGTGTTTAAATTACTTTGCTTTATTTGAATTTTCTGTACACTAACTTGTTAGTTTTGCCTTGTGTGTAGGGTCTCATAGAAGCATTTGCAGATGTGGCCCATAAAGTTGAGCTCAGATTTTGTGTGAGGCATATTTGGTCAAATTTCAAACTGAAATTTCATGGTGCAACTTTCAAGGAATTGTTCTGGGCTGCTGCTAGGGCAAGCACTCTGGTAAGCTTCTATTTAGGTTCTTTTATGTCAGTTTTATGGTGAACTATAATGTATGCTAGGAACATTTAGTTTTGCACATATTTGCATGTCTTTCTATTTTGTGAAAACTGTATGCCATGTGTCTATGTTGTGTTGAATGGTTGTCATGTGTGTGGTTGTATCAGTTTGAGTTTGAAGTTGCTATGGAAAGTATCAATTTTTTGGATGAAGAAGCATACCAGTGGCTGTCAAACATTGACCCCCAGCACTGGTCAAGGCATGCTTTCTCTACAAACTGCAAGTCTAACATGTTGTTAAACAACATGTGTGAGACATTTAATGCAGTGATTAGAGATGCCAGAGACAAGCCTATTCTAACTCAAATGGAATGGCTTAGAAGATATATGATGAAGAGGAGTAATGACAAATGGGAGGCAGCAAAGTCTTGGGAAGGTTTACTAACCCCAATTGTCAACAAAGTCTTTGATGGGTTGGAGAAGTATGCCAGGACATGTGAGGTTACAGCTTCAAGGGATGAAATTTATGAGGTGAAATACAAGGATGATCAGTGCATTGTGGATCTACAAGAGAGAAAATGCACTTGTTATAGATGGGAGTTGACAGGAATACCTTGTGTCCATGCATTTGCTTGCATAATGGACAAAAGGGATGATCCTGAGTTGTATGTGCACCCACATTACTATAGGGTGACATACTTGGCTGCATATGAGAACCCAATACAGCCAATGCCTGGCCCTAAGAATTGGGAAAAGGTCAAGCTCAGACAGCCTTTGCCACCTATGCTGAAAGTGCAGCCAGGAAGACCTAAGGCAAAAAAGAGAAAGCTTGAACCAGGGGAGGGCACTTCTGCAACACCTGAGGGCAAGAAGCCAAAGGTGAAGAAACAATGCAAGAACTGTGGTGGATTTGGCCACTTTGCCAAAACATGCAAGGCTGAAGCAGCACCAGAACAGCCTAACCCACCTGCAACAAATCCAAAGGGTGGGAGGCCACAGATGCAGACTCCTTGGCTTAAGGAACAGAGAAAGAAAAGTGAAGAGAAAGCAGCAAGACATGTATTTTGTATATTTTGTGACTTGAGTGTATTTAGTGGCTTTGTTTCTGAGTCTTGTTATACTATGATTGCAGGCTGCACTGAAGTTGCCACAATATCAGCCTCCAACAACAGCACAGGCTGGGTCAAGTAATGCTGCACCTGCAACTGCTGTGTCAAGCCAGCCTGCAACAAGAACAGAGCCTTTGCCAACTCAGCATGTTACCAGGAGCAACAGGAGCCTGAGTCAGCCCACAAGAGTGCCAACAACTACTCCTCCCAAAGTCAAAATACAGACCAGGTCCAAGCTTCATGTAATGACAAGCAAGAAGGACAAGGATCTCAATCAACTGTGACCCTAGGTCTACTCATTAGTATTTTGTAATAGACAGCCAAGTTTATTAACTACACATGTGTATAGTAGGCAGTATATTTGGTAGTTGAACAATGATTTTGCACAAAGGTGCCTTAACTTTTGTCTCAGCCAATGTAAAACAATTAAAAACATTGTGTTGCAAGTACTAATACGAAATGTGATATGTTTCTACCAAAAAGTTCAATTTCTCATTGATTTAGTTAAAAGTAGTACAAGAAATGTCATCCCAACATCGACACATAATAATTCAACTAAACACAACATAAGTTGGGGATTTTTTTTGTTTCTAAGCATTCCTAAATGAACCTAAGATCTAAAATACATAGCCAGTACCAAACCAAAACAACAAAACACAACAATAGCATGTACTGTGAGCATTTTCTTTGTTGTTGCATTGCTGCCATGCACTTCCTTGATCATCTTCTTCCTGTCTAAGCTAAGAGCTTTGCATTTCATCTTCAAGCTGTCAATCTCATTGAGCAAGCACCTCCTTTGTCCACTAACATCATCAACTTCCCTCTTCATGTCATTCAGCTCTCCCTTCATTAGTTTCTTGTCCAGCAGCAAGTTGTTAATCACCTCTGTGTGCCAAGGTGTTCCATCTGGTTGATCCACCCACTCAAAAGCTTTACACCCCCTTGACTCAGTCACAGGAACATAGAATTTGCAGGTCCTAAACTTGCGTCCAGGGTTCTCCCTAGTCCAAGCAGTCAGCCTAGACATTGGAACTCCACATTAGCATTTTTTCTCCTTTGAGGGTGACATGCTAACTGAAGACATTCCCTTCTGAAATTCAGTAAGAACAAGAATGAAATTAATTGTATTTGAACACAATCACCATAATATAACCCTAATTTCAGTAGCCAATTCACATAACAAAAACCCCCAATCTAATTTAATCTTACATGAACCCTAAGTATTTTAATTGAAATTGGGGTTTAATTGACCTCACAAAACGCCCAATTTCAATTACTCTTAGCAAATGCAACATAATCACGCAACGAATTGCCAAAAAATTACAACAGAAATCACGAAAATTGCTAGAGAATTAACGACAATGGCTTACATTTTTGATGCTTGTTGTCGAGGAGTTCAATTGATTGTTTGATAATTAGAGGGTTTGGGATTGTTAAGGTTGCCCAAAAATACTGATTTGTGAAGAAAATCGCAAAAATTAATCACCAATCTGCAAGAATTTGGTGTACAAATGAAGAACTAGGTTTAAATAAAAGGGAAATCGAGAGAAATTTGGGAAAAAAAATCAAAAACTAGCCGTTATGCTGGGCCCCACAAGCGTTTTCCGTCACTTGAGCTCAGATGAGGTGGTAAAACTGATGTTTAATTTTTTTATGAGGTGGTAAAGTAAATGTTTTTTTTTGGAGGTGGTAAATTCGACAAAGTCATTATTTGAAGGTGGTAAAAATGAAAATTTCCCCAAAATTATACATGGTGACATTATTTTATAAATTTTATTTTATTTAATTAAAATTTTGATCAGCTATATTTATTATTATTATTAGTGTAAGTATTTCATCATTTAATTTTTCTATAAGCTCTATATGTTTTTAAAAACAATTTGATGAATGTATTATTAATTTTGGGATTTTTTTTTTAAAAAAATTTGATGTAAGAAAATGAACAAATTTAAAATATATTAATGTAAGAAAATGAAAAAATTTAAAATATTTTATTTAATTAATTATTTGTTTGAATCGTGCATCGCACGAGACTAATTTAGTTCTCATTGATTATACTCCGTAATAGATTATGAATTATCATGATAAAATATTCGGCTATTTCACCAAATGTCACTGAGTACTTACAAAATTCACCAAATGCCATCAAGGTTTTCAAAATTCACCAAATGCCATCGAGTTTTTATAAAATTCACCAAATGCCATTAATGACTAACGGCTATTAACTCTGTTAGTCATTAAGATTAAATCTTGGCACGTGTCATAATATGATTAGTTCATTTTTGTGGAAAAATTGCTCGAATATATTTTTGGGGGTCATTTTGAAACTTTATGGGAACAAATTAAGCTTGGAATTGACAAAAAATAACGTAAATGCTCCGTTTTGTGTGTTGAAAAATATTTCGATTAGCGTGTCGTTATTTTTAACCATCAAAATTGATCGGGTTAGGTTTTTTGGCTCATTTTAACCTTTATGGGTACAAATTAAGCCCAGAATTGACAAAAAAATAACGTAAATGCCCCGTTTCGTGTGTTGAAAAATATTTCGATTAGCGTGTCGTTATTTTTTAAGCATCAAAATTGATCGGGTAAGGTTTTGAGGGTCATTTTGATCTTTTATGAAAACAAATTAAGCTCGGAATTGACTAAAAAATAACATATATGCCCCGTTTTGTATGTCGATATCATAATTTTTCTACAGAAAAAAATGCAAAACGGGGTATTTACGTTTTTTTCCCAATTTCGAGTTTAATTTGTTCCCATAAAGGATCAAAATGACCCCAAAACCTTACCCGAACAGTAAGAATTGAAAACAAGTATTATTTTTATTCATTAAAATAAATAATTATTGTGTATTAATTTTAAAAAGTAATGACATTTGTTGAAATAATTTTCCAAAGTAATGGCATTGGTGAAATTAGAATTGCATTAATAGAAAACTAACGTCCGTATGCTATTAGTGGCACGAGGTGTCATTGTATTGTTTGTCAGTGACATTTGGTGAATTTTGAAAACTTTGATACCTTTTGGTGAATTTTGTAAGTACTCACTGCCATTTGGTGAAATAACCCTAAAATATTCAAATAATTTCCACCACAATCAAACAACAAACAAGCACTTAATCAAAGAGATAAATTGGGGCATGGTATGATTTAAATTGGCTAATTTCGACTCCAAACTCACTCAAAATTTGTACTTGTTTCCAGCGAAACAATCGAAGCCCACCAAAAGAAAGTCTCAACGAAAGCTGCCATGAATAGACTGCTTCTCCTCCGTAGACTCAGTACTATCCGATTAAACTCCATTCCCAAACCAATTTGTAAACCTCAAATTTCACCTTTATTTTCTCTTTCCTCTTTTTCTGCATTCTTGCGTCAATATTCCTCATCTCAGTCTTCTTCCCACTCTAAATCTTCTGAGGTCCAAAGCAGTAATGATATTCCAGAATCTTCTTCTATTGACGATTTACCCACCGATATCACTACTCAAGGTGATTCTCAACTTTTCGTTTTATTATCTTGTATTTTTATTTTTTATTTTTTTAAAATTATTGAAAATCAATTGAAGTTGAATTTGTTCATTTTATGTTTATTGGATTCCTAGAAGAGAAGGAACAATCTTATACCATAACTTTATGTTTACCAAGTATTATATAGTGACATTATTCATGTAATTGAGTACCATGGATGATTGAGTTCTAATTACGTGATTGTGTTTCATTTTATTGTTGTTTTGGTAAGAATTTTGTTGTTCATTAATTTTCTAAAAATTTGCTTTTGGAGGCGTTGTGTTATAGTCGGCCTTTATCAATTCCGATGAACGTGTCAAGGACTCAAGGGTATATAAATAATCTTGCACATTCAACTTCTATTTGAAGTTTAATTTGCATTTTGAAGTTCAAATTTGTTACATACAGTATAATTTTCTAATTTGTACAGTATTTATTGTTGCTTCGTATGGTGAACTCTCTCTGCTCCTGTAAATGAGAAGTGTTATAGTTTTCAAAACATAAATTTGATGCTTAAATAAATAAATTTATTAATTTCCTTTCTTTCATCGCATTACCTGTCTACTGGTTCATTTTTGATACTTTCAATTTTAATTAGTTAAATACTTTTGATTCTGATTGAATTGAAGTTCATGTTTCTGAATGCAAATAGTATTATTTTTAATACTAACTGGTATTTACTCCGTTCACGAGTTAAACTTTTGATGAGATGTTTTTTTGTGAAGGGATGATTTAAGAATTATCTTATAAAAGTTATTTTCGTATAAATTTTGAAAGAAGAAACTAATTGTTAGTGAATAAATTTAAGTGGAATGAAGTGTCATTTGGAAATAAATTGAACACTAGGATAAAATTACATATATTACAAAAAAAAAATTGGAAAACAAAAATGACTTGTGGCACTCCAAATTTCCTTTATGTTGTCCTGTTAGTAAATATTAGTATAGATGTGTAAAATAAGTTTTGTTGATGTTAAATATGTTTTGTTGAATCTATAATTTGTTAATATTCTTGAAAGTTTTTAACTTGTGGATGTATTGTGGTTTGTTACATTGAAACTTCTTAATAATGTTTTAAGATCTTGAAAGTGATGCTGTTGAAGTTAAATTGAACTTCGGAAATTAATGTAAGGCTATACTAGTTTACTACATATGTTAGTGGTTATTACCTTTTCCTACATTTGTTATGTATGTAAAACTAGAAGTTGGTGTCTCGAAAGTAGTAACACTAGTAAGTTTGTTTCTGAAAGATGATGTTAGTTATTTCTATACTAAAATATATTTAGTTGTGTAGAGGTACTGTGCTCGAATGTGAGTTTCCTTTTGCTTTCGGTAATTTGAATAGAAAATGGAGATATTAGCCTGTATACATGTATACAACAAATTGCATTGCTTATGTGTTATGCAAAACAATTATTAGGAAATGGTTACAATTGAAATATGGTAATCTAGAAAAATTAAGTGTCGATAATTGTCTAGAATAATAAAGAATAATTTGGAATTTTTAGTGCATGGAAAAATCTCAGTAGAAAAATGTAGAGAATATAAATCTAATTGTAAGTAGAAAAATCTCGAACTAACATGTGCAAGAATAGTGGAATAAAGAACCAATATATTCCACTATAAATATAAGCTATACTACAAAATTAGAAGTACTCGCAAAGGTTAGAGTGAAAGACATAAGGTCTCACAGATTAGAAATACTAGGTTAAGTCCCGTGCCATGAACGGTTATATTCACTATTTTTCATTAGTTTAACGCTAAATTTAATTATAAAAAAATCTAATTGCAAAATAAATGAAAATTTATTAATGACAATATAAAAAGAAAATTATATCATAAGAAAAAAAAAGAGAGAATCAGTATTAAATAAAAGAATACTCTGTAATGTTTTTTTGAATACATTAATGAAATATAATTATGGAAAATAATACGAGTATTACATAATAATAAATATTGTCTAAGAAATAAAAAAATGATTTTTTTGACAGGGAAATTGTTAACCAGGAGATGACATTTTAGGTTTCGCTTTTAGCATATAATTAAAATTAATTATTGAATCTATTGTTTTTTAAGTTAAAATTACCATTAAAAGAGTATTTGTATTTTTTACATAAAAATTGTTTGAACATGCACATACTATTTTGTTTGATAAAAACATTAGAATGAAATTAAAATTGAATGGAACACATTTCATTATTATTTGAGAGACCTTTTATTTGGGTAAATATTCGCATTTACTTCTTGTTAATTAATTTTTTTTTTAAATTAAGAAATATATTATTTGAGAGGTATCATTAGTATTGTAGGCTAAATCCAGTATAGAAAGTAGAGAAGATACGTTGAAAAAAACACTCTTGTTATAATTGATTTGATACATAAATTCTTGTTGTAATTATTTTGCTATCATTAAAGCTATTTACATCTTAATTAATTCATTTTTAATCTCATTAGAAATCTAATTCAAATATTTTTTTCTAAGAAAAAAAAATTAAACAAAGGACACACCCAGAGATGACACGTGTCATTGATGGTATGTCTTTTAGTATATAGTTATTAATAAATATTCCACCAAAATGTTGTACAATTTGGAAGGTAATTAATTATTTGTAATATATGATAATGTAAATTTATTTTATCATATTTAGATATTAAGCTTTTGCATACGTTTAAATTCTATCATAAACGTAGACATTATCCGTAAAGTATATTTAATTTGAGTGAAAGATTCCTAAGGAATTGAAAATGGGTGGCTTTTGGTAATGATAAATCATAGTCATTTCTATTTTATATTCTAAGCTCAAAAAATTCTACAAATTAAATCATGATATAAATTATGGTTATTTATTATGATGCAATAAGTTTGTGCTTGAACACCTATGTTGTAAGATGATCTGCATATATTATTGAATTAAACGCTGAAACAAATCTAGTTTAGTTTTTTTTGTATAGTATGATAAAGAACACATATCTATAAATATATAAGTGAGTCGGTAATTGAGTATAAATTATATACTTCCTCCGTTTTTTTAGTTGACACCGCTTGACATTTACACTATTCACAAACTACACTTTGACTCGCTTTTGTGACTTATAGGTTCGATAAAATATAATCATTATGAGATATTGTTTGAATCGTCTATATATATTTTATTAATATCCACTTTTTATAACTTTGCCAATGTTGATAGTTGAAGTTATTAAGGGTCAAAAACATGCATTAGCAAGCGTGATAATAGAAAGGTGTTTAACTAAAAAAACAGAGGAAGTATATATCAAGTAAAAATGCAATGTATTTAGAACCCATATTAGGGAAATATGGAATGAAAATTTCATACTTTTTATGATACAAGATATGGAATAAACTTGATGGGAAATTGAGAATTAGATCTAATCTTTTGGATTTATTGTATTTTCTAAATTTTTAATTCACTTAGTGTTTGAATTTAGTACAAAAGAATATGACTTTATAGTCAAGTTCAATCTTTAAAAGCCCCAACAAATCAACAAAGTATATATTTTAATTTATAAAAAGCTAATGAACAACTTTTGTAATTGCAACATGTTTGTCTTTATGTAGGCTAAGTAATAGCTTAACCTTTTGTGTGATAATTTTGTACTCCCAGTCTTAAATCACTTCATCAATAATTTTTAGATGACTATATCTATAGTTTTTAGATATTTGAGCATAGTATTATGTGTATTACTTCCAATGTTTTTATTTAATTGTAACAAAAGGAATGGAAACCACGTTCAATAACTGAGAAAGTAGAAAGGCTTATCAATTGCCCACATACCCTCTTCTCTGACTTCCATGCCACCCCTCCACACCCCTTACGTGAACCAATCACTCCCTCCTACCACAGGCATCAAGCAACACCACCCAACTTCTACCATCAACCGCCCGGACACTACAATCCTCCCCAGACTTCCAATCTGAACATCTCATTTGGCTAGCAATAGACAATTAAATATGCTTATCTTTAATCTTCCAAAATGTGCTCATGGATTGCTGGAGTTTGTTATCTAGAATTGCTATTTGCCAGAAGTTGATCAATAAATGCCCACACTTGTTCGTCACTGGTTTTGGGAAGGGGATATGTGATTCTTCCTCTTCCTATTTATCCTAGTAACTGTGGTGAGGACACCTAGAGCTGTTAGTATTTGGCGATCTAGTTTAGTCCTAACTTATGGATGAAAGGATTACAGTGGAGAGAGAAGTAATTGGATGCTCGGGGAGGGTTGGAGGGGGGGTGTTGATGGTGCTGACAAGACTAGTGGTGATTGGTGTAAGCCTGTAAGGGATAATTGGATAAATGATGAGGTAGGACAGAACCAATCTGATATATTAGCAATTTAGGATACTATTGGTATTTTAAAGTAAAGAAGTTTTCAAATACTGTAATTTTGCAGTTAATGTGTTGTATCTTTACAAAGTTAGTGTTGCAACTAAAAAGTATTATGTGTTATTCAGGTCCTTCAATTGGTATAAATGAAACAATTATCTTTACCATGTTCAATACCCTATCTTTTACCAATTCTCATTTTAAGTTTTGACTACTGTAGAATAGTGTGAGGCTATGATGGACCATAAAGCTTCATACTGATGTTGATTTTCTTATCATTCAATAATCTGGTATCTACTATCAAGTATATATCTCTCTAGCTCTCACTAACTCCTGTGCAGCTAATTGGATTATGAAACTTAACTTTGATGTTTTGAAGATTAGTGTTTACGTATCTTATAATCATCCTCTTAACGCATATCTATGTGCAGAGCTGAAGCACATAATTGACAGGTACTTGAAAGGTGACATGGAAGTTCTTCCTTCCATTTTTGAAGGTATACTAGCTAGGAAGTTATGCAGTAAACATGATGACACAGATGATGAATTAATGGAGGAATTTCGATCAAAGACCCAACAAGATGAGGGTCATCAGTTTCAATCTAATGAAGATCTCACGCAGTCAGATTCAGATAAGGATCTCACAGAGTCTGATGAAGAACTTAGTGGTTGAAGAACCTGCTTGTAGTTACAATCAGAAAACTTGTTACGAAAATTTTGACTCGTGTATAAAAATTATCTGTTAGAGCTTTCTATTGTAAATTACAACGAAGGGGAACAATAACATTACAGGATTGCATTCTAATTAGCCATGTATACATGCAAGAAGTCGCTTCACACAAATACAAGCTATTGTAGTTTTGGTATGTTTCATGTTTGATGATATCTATTATATCCAGAGACCACCTGAATTTTGATATATGGTGTTCATTTCTGCTCCTAACAATGTAGCAGTCCAGTTTATATTTAGATTTATGCTGTAAGTCATCATATCTTCCTTCCATTTCCACACCACGGCACCATGCTTCTATTACTAAACATCTTGTCTTCCGAGTTAATTGTTATTTCGCTGCTTAATTGAATAATCATCCATAAACTCGCTAACAAGAAGTTAATTGGGATATGTCCATTCCTTTTTCTTCAGTTCTGATATCTTGTGTAGCCTGTTTGTGTTCCAAGCTTGCTAGTCTCATTTGTTTCTGCAACTTGTGAGGACACCTCAATTATGACTGTTGGCTTCTTGCCAACATTGATTATATAAAGACCAAGCTACTCTTCTTTTTTATCCTCCCGCGATCAAAAGTAGCTCCAAACTACCCAAAACTCATGCAAGTACTTTTTTTCAAAGAAAATAATGTACATCTAAAACAAAGGCCTAAAATGATTTCTACCTATTTCCATATTCATGCTTGTACTGTCATCATAAGTTGTACCAATTATGTAAAAGACATGAACTAGGAACCCTTAGAATTTTTACAAGTCTATTGCCAATCATACTATGATGAATTAATGCAAATTAGCAAGGTAAATATTGTAATAGTTTATTCAATTTTAATTGATCTTATAATTGATTCGATGCTAAATCAAGACAAATTTAATCAAGTCTAGGTATATAATACAGAGTAGAGATATTCAAATTCCAAAGTAATTTTTATACGATGTTTATAATGCCAAGCCCAATTTTATTTTTCATGTTTGTTCGTCTATAAGCTTAATTAGTTATTATTAGTTTTTTTTTTTTAAGAAATTTTTTATTATTATTGTTGTTGTTATTTTGGATGGTACATAAATACCTTTATGACTGACATTACCATCCAAAATTTATTACCAAAACTTTTGGGATAACTAATCAAATTAAATTTAAATTATTTATCAAAATTTTATACATTTTATTGTTTAGATGATGGTTGTGTAATAAGAATGTAATTATATGATAATACTTTACCTTAGAATTGTAATTAATGACTAACATTAATGACACTTTAAAATTTTTGTAAAACAACTAATATTTTCATTGGAGATGCTAATCGAGTTGAGCGACTCGAGGTCGACTTGGACAACACTTGGTCAAAACTCGACTTGAGTTGTCTCGACTCAAACTATTAACCTTAACGAGCATGAGTTGAGCAATACTAATACCAATTATTTAATAAGCATTATTGTTATGTTATCACTTTATTGAAGAAAAATGATAATTAACTAATGACTAACAATACTAATACTTTAGAAAAATTTTAAAGCAACTAATATTATTACTAAGGGTGCTTATTAGGGGTGAACATGGTCTGGTTTGGTGTGGTTTGAGTCTAAACCAAGCCAAACCGTAAAATACGGTTTGGTCAATTTTCCAAACCAAACCAAACCATATTAGTATTGAAACCAAATCAAACCAAACCGTAATAATGCGGTTTGGTGCGGTTTGTTTAGCGAGTTATGATGAGACGGCATTTTTTTCCTAAAAATGTCAAATATTAATAAATTTATAATAAAGTTCAAATAATTAGCCAAAGGGATTAAATTCTACTACAAATTTTTAATAAAAATAACAACCAACTAATCAAGTGCTAAGTGCTAACACAATAACACATAATAAAAATAATACATAACAAATTAACAGTGGAAAAAAACATAATACATTTGTTGAGAAAAATAATTCATACTATATCATAATAAATTATAGTTATATGACCTATTGAATTTTAAGTACTGATATTTGATATTTGAGATTGAGTATAGAGTATAGTAGTATACTGACCGTATAGTCTTCTAATGATTTTTCATGTTTTTTTTGTTTTTTTTTTATTTTTTTATAATATATAATAACTATTTTAATTTATTTAAAAATTATTTAAATATTAAAATGCGGTTTACTGGTTTACGGTTTGGTTTGGTTTATAATTTTTGAAAAACAAACCAAACCGCAAACCATATTTCACAAAAAATCGGTACCAAACCGTATTTTTCCAAACCGCAAACCAAACCAAACTGCTAAAATGCGGTTTGGTTTGGTTTGGTTACGGTCTAGACCAAACTATGTACAACCCTAGTACTGCTAATTGAGTTGAGGCATCTAGAGATTGACATAATTATTTTGATTATTTTTGAAAAACATAGTTAAAAAATAATGCGGTACCTCTATAGAGAAAAGCTATTACTCATGTTCACAACTAACACATTTTAAATTTAAAGTGAAATTAATAATATGATGATGAAATATTTTTGTATAAAGTAGACAAGGATGATTAAGATTGAATAAATGAAACAATATAATCGGAAAAAGAAGGAAGAAAAAACTATTAATATTAATTTTGTTGAACACAAAATTTGCAAAATTCCCACATGGAATGAAAATCGAGAGTATTAACATTGAGAGGTTATAAAAAGAGAAAGTTAGCCTCTCTTTCAATAGTATGAATAAGTTGGCTCTTATTTAGGGTTTGAGTTATTCAAACCCTTTTTTTTTTTTTTTTTGGAGAAATGTTCAAACATTGGCTCTATTTAATAAGTTAGGGCCTAAGTTAGTTTGGGCTTGAACTTATGAATTTATGTAGCCTAATTACCAAGATTGTTATTGAACATTACCTAAACCCAGTTTTTTTGGTAATAACCAAGATTGTTGTTGGACATTACATAAACCTTTTTTTAAGAGAGCGGTTATTGTTATTATTAGTATTATTGTTAATTATTAATATTAATTATTATTGTTATTATGGTTAAAAAAAATAAAAAGTATTGACATGGAGAGGTTATAAAAAGAGAAAAATAGCCTCTCTTTCAACAGTATGAATTACTTAAATTTTATTTAAGGCTTGGGTTATTCAAACATCGGGCCCAAGTTTGTTTGGGCTTTAACTTTATGACATTATATAGCTTTTTTCATTTTAGCTATGTATCAAGTTATGAAAAAAAATCCAGTTGTCTTGGTAATTACCAAGATTGTGGATGAACATCATCTAAACCTAGTTTTCTTGGTAGTTACCAACATTATGGTTGGACATTACTTAAACTCAGTGTTCTTGGTCTAAACCCGACTCCAGTTGCCTATACTTGAGCTAATTATTATGATTTTTGTTAATTAGTTTTGTTATTGTTATTTATTTTTATTTATATGCATGAAGAGAGTTGATATTGTTATATATTATTTTTGTTAGTGTATTTTTTTTTTAAAATGAGCTTAATTAATATGGATATTACAGTTCGAAATTCATTAGCAAAGATTTTGGGATAACTAATCAACTTAAATTTAAATTATTAATCAAAATTTTATAACATTAATGGTACTTTATAATTTTTTTGAAGCAACTAATATTATCACTAGGAGTGTTAATCGAGTTGAGCAACTCGAGGTCAATTCCAATAACACTTGGTCAAAACTCGACTCGAGTTGTCTCGACTCAAACTGTTAACCTTAACGAGAATGAGTTAATCAAGCTATAACTCGACTCAATAAGTTCATGAATAGCTTGGTAATTTTATCATTTTATTATTAATTATGAAAATAAAAAATCATACAAATTTATTTTGTATTTCCTTAAAGAGAAGTTATTAATTAATACTTATGTCCATGAATAATACCTAAACCTAGTTTTCTTGGTAATTACCAAGATTATGGTTGGACATTACCTAAAACTAGTTTTCTTGGTAATTACAAAGATTGTGGATGGATAATGCCTAAACCTGGTTTTCTTGGAAATCACAAGATTGTGGTTGGACATTACCCAAACCTAGTTTTCTTTTTAATTTTTTTTTATTTTAATTTTTATTTTTTTTTGTCTATACCCGACTCTAGTTGCCCATACTCGAGGTTTTCATGCTATAACTCGACTCGATAAGCTCGTTAGTAGTTCAAACATATTTTTATATAGTTGCGAAAAATAAAATATCATTGTTAAATTTGTTTTACTGGTATTAATATTAGTATAACTAGTTTTTTTATTGGCATTGGTATCGCACAACTCATGCTCGTTAAGGTTAACAGTTTGAGTCAAGACAACTCAAGTCGAGTTTTGACCCAGTGTTGTCCAAGTCGACTTCGAGTTGCTCAACTCAATTAACATCTTAACATATCTACTGATAATATTAGTTATTTTACAAAAAAAAATTAAGAATCATTAATGTTCGTCATTAATTACGATTATAGGGTAAATTATATTAACATATAATTACGTAATCATTATCTAAACAATATAATGTATAAATTATGATAAAAATATTAGATTAAATTTGATTAGTTATCCCAAAAGTTTTAGTAACACAACGATTGCACCCTAATGCAACACAGCTATTCATAATCGTTGCATTAGACTTCATAAATGTTGTGTTAGGGTGGTCTAATGTCACGACAAATCAGAAATATGAAAATATAAATATGATAATATTATTTGGATTAAATTTTTGTCATGAAGTATCATTAATGTTAGTAACAAATTATAAGGTATCATTTTTTTTTATAAAGTATCATTTCTGTTAGTAATTATTTATTAACAAATCTAATAAATAACAATAGCAACATTGATATATATACATATATATATATATATATATATAGAGGATGACTCTCGTGAGAATTTTTCTTATGTGAGAATACTCTTTATGTTCTAAATTTTTACTCATATATGTTCTAAATTTTAAATCTGATGTTCTAAACTTTTTCTTATGTGTTCTAAATTAAATTAAATTTTCTAATTTAGTACTCACATGTTCTAAACCATAAATTAGTTAAGTTTGATGTCATAAATTTTAAATAACTTGTTCCAAAATTTTAACTTTTTTTTTACGAGCAAAATTTTAACTTATATGTTCTAAATTTTAAAACGTGAGAATTTTAATTATATGTTCCAGATTTTAAAGCGTATGTTCTATTTTTATAAATTTTTAATAACTGGTTCTAATTCTTAAATCAGATGTTCTAAACTTA